GAGCTGGATATTCTGCAAAAGAACAGGAAAAAAAGCAGACATTCAGATTAGAAACATGATGTATTGCATTAAGTACTGAAATGGTGAGGTGGATAAACTGAGTGGCATAATGACTTTTTTGGCATGTATGAATGCCGAAGGGTATCAGAACTGTAATTCACTGAGTTCCCAGTTGCTGGTTCATGTTCTTTGCTGGCTCCGATGTGAAGCACGAGCCTTTTCCTGGCCCAGTAACAGAGAAGATTACTAAAGACCCCCGTTTGGGTGGGCAAAAGCCATCTTACGTGAGCTGGAGAGGCCATCGCTGACTTCTCCACCTGAACTGTTGTGCAGTGGGCCTGCAGGAGCAGACCCCAGGGGGGATGAAAAGTGCTGTGTGTATACCTGCAAGGAATTGTTTTACTGTTACTATTGCTACTGCCCAACAACAATCTGGACTGTTATTAGATTGGTTACAATATCAGGTCCTTGATACACAAATGGCAGTTAGGTTCATGAGCGTACATGGACAGAACACAGGGGTGCTACTGCAGAGAGAGAGATTCTGGGAAGCCGGATTGCATTTTATTGAAGCTGACTGAGGGTTCCTTTAGTCAAAGCAGGGCTGAATACTTGGGTCATTAAACTACTAGTAAACAAACGAGCAGAGTGGGCAGAGTCTCTTCTCATTTGTAACCTTTTTATATTCTTAAAACACTCAGTGCTACTACTGGTGTCCCTGCCTGACAGAGACATGCTTAGAAATACAACTTATATCCAGCAGTAGGAAAGAAAGAAATCCCTTTCAAACACACTCCAGAAAAGCATGACAGTCCAGAAACACGCTCACCTAATTCAGAATTCAGATACAGGCCATCAAACCTCTCCCCACACAAACCACAATACATGATTTTTCATTAATTAAAAGCCTTACAGGTACAGTTCTTGAATACAAGAGAGATTCCACTGAGATCCTTCAATGGGTGTCAGACATTCCTGTTCTTAAAACAGCAACAGATTCTAATCTTGTTAGCCAGTCCCTTCTGCTGTATCTAAAATTTCCTTTTGTTTATTCCTCAAAGGCATTTCTGCTCACAGTTCCAGCATTGTTAAGGAATGTGTGAAATCTGATCAAATAACTGAAAGCTTGGACAAAAACATCCAAACCACCATATATACAGAATGTGTATATAAAGCACTGTTATTTTCTACTCTTTTAGCATCATGCTCATGTTATTTATACGTGTGTCTTTAAGACATCTCAATTATGCAACCTCTTAAAAAGGGACAATAAAGGCTTGGTGTAAGAGACTGTTTTTACAGTTACTATTTAGAATCAGAATCACATGAGGCTGAAGAAGCCCCTTTGTATTATGAATCAATTTCACGTTTCCAGGGGAAATAATTGTGTCACCATGGCAGCATGTATTTAAAACCTTCATCATTTTAGTTTTTTTTAATCACTTGAACTACTGAGGTACAGCAGGAGCTTCATACTTTTTACATCTGCTTTCTTTTCAGTTCCTTAAGAAGGTTTTATCTCCAGGAATCTGCCTCAGTCCAGATCAGGACTGCAAGAGCCAAATTAGCAGATCAAATCTGACATTGGAAAAGCATTTGTTTTGTTTTGTTTTGTTGTTGTTTTTTTGTGGCTTTTCTCTTTTTCATACTTTCACATTAGCGATTAGAAAAGAAATACTTTAGAATTCTTACAAGGATGCATTTTGAAATTATACTACCTTGATATTCCTAAGCCGGAATATACAGATAAGTAAGAAGAATATACTGTGCTGTGAACTACAAATTGTCCAAAAACATAGAGCCACAGAAGTTAAAAATGAATGCTTTACTAAGACAGCAGAGGTCAGTTTTCCTCTGCTATGCTGAATCTGTCAGACTGTTGTAGTTGTAGCCACAGAGCTCAACATAGACAGTCACCAAGTTGTCCCTGGGCCTAACTAGGAGGACATGAACTTGACATCTTTGTATAAAGCTACAGACTGGCTGGACCTCCAGACAAGTAATTGGTGTCCTTTATTGTCATTGGGAGCTGCTTTTTCTCCACCGTTCTGAAACAACCTTGAGAGACCTCAACACACATTGTGGGTTCTTACAGTGCAGGACAAAATGATCTCTCGAAGCTTCTTTTGTGCTTCATCCAACATGTACTGTACCTGGGGGACCTGCATTTTTCACATTTGCGTTGGAGCCACTGGACGTAGTCCTGCACTCCGTTTCGAAACAATAACAGACTGATTTCTATTCAACATTTGGTGCAAATTTCCTATTTAGAGTTTCACGGTTGTGTGAAAAACCACACAGATGGGCCAAATGGCATTCTCTCTTGAGCAGCGTTTCTACTGTTCTCATGTGTGGGCCATTCTTTGAATCTTCTCTGCAGCAGCACTGCTATCTTGTTTGCAGGGGCTGTACAAAAGCTCCCTATGACTTTCACTGCTGCGTGCAAAAGATATTCCTAAAGAAGTCATGCACTAAAGGCCTCACTCTATGCCAGTGTTTATATGTGATCCATTAAAACCAGCTGTCTGCTTTGGATGCTTCCACTGTTCACAGCAGTATTCCCATATTTTGTATTTGTTTTTTTGCAACTGTGAAGAGCAACACAACCAAACAAGATCGGGTGTGGATTGTGTCTTCAGATTGGGTGCCTCTCTGCATCTCTACTGACTCTCTAACATTGTTGTGTTTGCTTTTTGACAGCCCTTTTATAACAGAGGCATGATCGTGCATTCCCTGCCTGCCTTTCGTTTCTCTAATGTGTAGAAATCCCCAGGTTATATAACCTTTTCTGAGTGAAGAGAGCTTGCACAGCCCTGGACTCGGGCTGTGACCCAGGGGTTTTCCAACAGAGCCCATGAAACCAAAAGTAGACTCCTCACAGCTTTGATAAGGGAAATGCTAGGTCATGAGATCCCAGTTCCCAACCAAATAATGAAAATTCCTGGAAATATCTTTATACGAGATCTACCAGGACCTCCATCAGATTCCAGGAAAAGCAATCAAACCCTCACAGGAGCTCGCAGCCCCACAATCATTCGCAGCTTTTCGCATTTGAAGTTCAGAAACGCAGGCGCGCCAGTGCAAATCCTGGAAAATCAGCTGTGTTGTATTGATCGTGTGGGCCTGTACTGCAGTTCTTCTTCACAAACTTCAATGTGCCCGTCTTCGATTCATCGGAATAAGAATGTGTGAGTGGGTTTGTGAAGGGTAAGATGAGAAATACATCGCATTAGGTAGAGCAGAACACACAAGTAAAACTTTTACTGGAGAAGCAGATATAATGAAAGTGTCTACAAAGGTTTTTGGTATTGATTCAATTACAAAGGCTTTAAGATTCACTGTTTAATTCTCCGAGCTTGTGATTTCTGGATTCCCGGAGAGAGTCGTCCTGATGCGGGTTATTAACAGCTGAATCGGCTCTAGAGTCTCCCTCCTGCGGGCTGTGACAACGTTTTTTTTTAAAAAATAACTGTTTTCCTTCTTCCTTTACATATTTCGCTCGACAGGCCACGATGTGGAATCTGAAGAACGTGACAGCTGTGTGTTTTAATGGTAGGTGGAAACCATATAGCAGACCAGACATACACGTATTACAATCTGAGACTCTGTCGTCTGTAAACATGTCTGATCTCCCAGCTTAGCTGAAGGGAAATGACGCTCTTAGGGCAGAGCTGAACTGGGGGTGGAGGTCTGAAATCTAGTTTTTTCCCACCTTTCACAGACCCAGGCCTTTCAGAATTGGGGGCCTTGAACTCCCCGTTTGTCCTTAATATTGGAAGATGTGTTGAGACACACAGCTGGCAAGAGTCTCCCAGCCCCCCCGAAATGCTGGTGTATAACACTTATAGTGAGCGCTTTACAATACAGAACAAGGATCCTGGCGGGGCTACGGCCAAGGTGATACGGTGTAAAACAATTGCTTACACTTATATAGCACTTTTCTGGACACTCCACTCAAAGCGCTTTACAGGTAATGGGGACTCCCCTCCACCACCACCAATGTGTGTCCACAGAAGGGCCACGCCACACTCATGGCTCGCCACAGCGAAAGGCACACAAGTAAACCGCTGCTGAAAAGACACACCCCCAAACCTCACACATCCCACCAGCGGAAAACATAGCCAATCGAACTCATTCTTCGATTTGTGGACTAAGGTCAAAACTACCAGCTGATATCTTGGCAGATCTGGGGATTTTTTATTTTATTTTATCCAAATTACTTTAGTTTACAAGGGGGGGGGCAGGGGGTATCGGCTAGTGACCGCGACAGGGCTTGCATCCTCTCGGACGGACTCTTTAACCAGATTATGGGAGCGCAATCACGGCTTTTCTTTTCTGTTATTGTCAAAGTTGATTAAGGGAAGCGCAGCTGGAATTAAAGAACCCCCCCACGCGTGCGTGACGTGACGTGACGTGCTCCAGCGAGTCCGCGCGGGGAAGGAGGAGACGCCGCTGAAGTTAGAAGCACGGTGGTGGTGGGGGGAGACATAAATAATGTTTTAAGTACCTTTCGGTGAGTTTTTAAGACGACTTGCGGGGTAGCAAGAGCAAAAAACGACAACAGAGAAGGGTACCCCTGCCGGCAAGCCCCTCCGCCCCGGTGCAAACCCAGCGGGTCATCGTGCAGCCTTATCGGTTATCGAAAACCTCGCTAGCCGCAGCGTTTAAACTCCGATTACATCGAAAACAAATAGTGCAAAAAAAAAAAGAGTGAGAGAGGAGAGAGAGCCACTCCTTCCTTTCGTTACGGCGAACCCGTAAGGAAAATGAAAACGTAAAAAAGGAGAAAAATAAAACAGGTTGAACGAGCGAACGCGTTTTCCACGGGCGCGTATCGCTCAAGACCCGAGAGCAACAGCGAACGAGACACCTTCTCTTTATTTATTTTTTTTATGAAAACAAATATATTTAAATACAAAAACGACCCCCCCGCCTTCGCCTCAAACCCAGCCTCGCCGATCCCTGGGCTCAAAGAGAGGAGGAGGAGGGGATGAAACTTGTCCCCACCACCACCACCACCACTACCAGTGCAACTTCCAAGCCATCTCGTCTCACGATGACCAAACCGATTGCTGTAATAAAATCCCCTTTGGCGGAAAAAAAAAAGCCCCCTTCCCCCCGAAACTACGAGATTGGTAGTCCTTCGGCAGGCTCACGCCTTGTAGGAGGGGTTAGCACGTTATTTGTGAGGCTGGGCTGGCGAGCCCATCTGTAGTTTTCGGCGAACTTGCTGGGGAGTAAGGTGCACGGGTGTGCGTGTTTTATAGCGGAACTTTTAACTACATTTCTTACCTCGCCAATAAAGATCGCAAAAGGATTTTTTTTTAAAAAAGAAAACTCGTTTTTTTTTCTTGCTCGCTTCCTTTGGTCCCGGATTGGAATTTTTAATTCGTGTTTTTTTTTTTAAGTGATTTTGTTTTTGGTTTTTTTTTTTGCTTTTATTTTTTATTTAAAAAAAACCAAACAAAAAAAACCCGAGGAAGACCGCACCGTCTGAAGATCTGAAGGATGGGTTCCCAGCTGTCCAAGGGAGTCGTCGTCGAGTCCAAGCAGGCTGCCGCTGACCCTGCGGCTGCCAAGACCAACGGGCAGGTGAGCGCCGTCTCCTTCTGTGCCACCCGTGGGCGTTTTAAAACGTGAACGCAAAACGTACAAATTAAATAAACTTGGGGTTGAAAAAGTGAGGGACCGACCTGGTTGCATTTTAGGTTGGTTGGAACTTTTGTTGTTTTTTTTTTTGGGGAGAGGGTAGCAATTTAATCAGCAGCGCGGAGGTGGGGGCTCTCCTGAGCGCTGAGTGTCGTGATGATTAATTTTTATATATGTAAAAGATAATTGTAGGATTTCTGAGCGGGGCGACACGAAAGCCCGGCTCTGTGACCAGGGTGTTCAGTCCTCTATTGTTCCTCAATTCCCCGTGTGTCGGGGCCAAAGCCTGACCGCCACCCCCACCCCCCCTCCACTCTCCTTTAAAATCGGGGTACACGGGTGCCCCGCGTCCACATGCATTGCTGTGTTTGGACGAGGGGTTTTGGGGGGCTGCCTGGTGGGGTGCCATCATCGAGCCGGCGCTGGAAGCCCGGTTAGATGGGTAGCCTGGACAAAGCGGGGTGCTCAGCCGCCGCCCCCCCCAGGGTGCTCGCTCCGCCACCGTGCAGAGGGGGTTGGCGTGCACGGAGGCTGCAAACGCGGCGCGCTGGGTTTTGCACGGCGACGGGCGTGCAGCTGCCACCGCCGATCGATACCGTGGGCGACGGGAGAGATGCTTTTGTCTGCTCCCCCCCTCTTCCTGCGTTGCGCCCAACGTGACCGCTGGGGTGCTTGATCGCGTCTCGGCGTCCGTCGAGTGATTTGGGGGTGTTTTGTGACCCAAATGGTCTTAGTTTTTGCCTGCAACTGCTGCTGAATTGGGAGACTGGTTCTCTACAGAAATGGGGGGGCGGTGCTGAAAGGCGCCAATCTTGGTCTTAGTTTGCGGACCCTAATGCAAAGCTCGGCGGCTTAAAGCTCCCAGCCGCTCCAGGGTGGAATAAACCTTTTTGGGGGTCTCCTCAACCCGGGTTGAGAGACACGCTGGTGCATTGCCTTGGCGCTTTGGTGAGCATTTTTAATTCTTTTGTTGCACCGCTTGGCTTGTCGCACGGCTCGGTCTTTTACGCGGTGCTGTAGCGCCCCCCAGCGGCGAGGGCCGTGAGCTGCGCCTCGGCCGGCTAGGCGCGCCCTTCGAAAAGGTGAAATCCGTGTCGGGTTGCTGCATCCTACCTACAATGCACGTCTTTTCTACGAGACGGATAGTGTTGACACTGCCGTCCCTGGGTGAAAGACTTCTGTCCGGGGGAGAAAAAAAAAACCAAGTTTGTTAATCTGTGCATGCGTGGTCCGTGTAGTATACGGTTTTGAGACGGTATTCTGCCTTTTCCCCCCCCTGCCTCTCAGGAAAATGGCCATGTGAAGACCAATGGGGACGTGTCCGCCAAGGCGGAGGGCGACGCGGCGGCCAACGGCAACGGGTCCGCCGAGGCGGTGAAGGAGACGGGCGCCGGGGACGCCATCGAGCCGGCGCCCGCCGCCGAGGGCGAGGCGGCCAAGCCCGAGGGGGAGGCGGCCAAGGAGACGCCAAAGAAGAAGAAAAAGAAGTTCTCCCTGAAGAACTCCTTCAAGTTCAAGGGCCTGTCGATGAAGAAGACCAAGAAGGGCAGCGGGGAAGGCGCGAAGGACGAGGCGGCCGCGACCGCAACCGCCGCCGCCTCCCCCTCGGCCGAGGACAAGGCTGACGGCGCTGCCGAGGGCGGAGACGCCGCCGCCGCCGCCGAAGCCACGGCCAGCGAGTCCAAGGAGAGCACGACGCCGGCCGAGGCGAAGGAGGAGGCCGCCGCCGCCGCGTCCGACGCCGCCGAGGAGCAGGGAGGAAAAGCCAGCGAGGAGCCCGCGGGGAAAGCCGAGGAGGAGACGGCCGCGGCCGCGGAGGAGACCGAGCCGGAGGCGGCGGCCGCAGAGGCGACCACAGCGGCCGCAGAGAAGGAAGAGCCCAGCTCGACGCCTTCTGAACAGAAGGAGGAGTGATCTCGATTTCGGAACTTTGTGAACTGTTTTTTTTTTTTTCCTCTTTCAATCTCTTTCTCTCTCGGAAAATTATATATATATATAAAAAAAAAGACTTGTGCCACGTTCTTTAAAAAAAAAAAACACCAACAACAACAACAATAACAACCTGATAAAAAAAACCACCATCCCATTAACTACCGATGCTCACAGCCCAGGTCGCTTCTCCATAAAACGAAACGACTCCCATTGCCAGTTCTGCAGGAAAAAAAAAAACCTCAAGCAATGCCCAGGTTTCCGGACCTGAAGCTGGATGTATTGTAAACAGGTGGGGATTGTAAAACTCATCCGACTTTGCACCTCCTTCCAATTTGATTCCTTTGCCAGAAGATGATTTTTTAATGGTGTGGCAGCCCTCTATTTTTTTTTCTTCATCTCTCGAGATCGCGATCTCCACAACATCAGTGAAGCTTGAAAGGACTTCTCCAGCTGAAATGACTGTTCACACAACAGGAAACCCTTTTCAGAGCCTTTATCAACTTTTAAGAGTTCAACATTCCTGTTTTACCCCACCCCAATATAAAGTATTTTGTGATGTATAGAGAAACAAAACATTTTAATGAGAAGCTTATAGTCCTTTTGTTTTGTTTACATTGTATTTTAATTTTTTGGCTAAAAACCACAAGCTTTCGGTCTGCTGTGTTCACATTTCAAATTTAGTGGGGGCTGGGGGTTGTATGTATAATGTGAGCCTTTATATCTGCTTTTTCGTCTCTGTAAATACGTTTTTAGCCAATTTTTGGTTCTTTATTTTGCTAACGTTTTAAGGATGTTCATGGTTTTATTGTAACTTTTAACGAGGGTAAATAAATGTTGGATCCATGGAGGCCTGTTGTGTACCGTCTAATTGAGCTTAATCTTTTGTGCTCCTGTGTGATTACCGTTGCGGCCCAGAGCTCTGTGTAGGGGCTAATCTGGCTGCTGTTGTGGCACCTCTATTCTACCGCTGCACAATGCAGAGATTTTGAAGGCGGCGCATGGTTTTTTGTGCTGTTTGCTAGCTTGTTCGTTTCCATTGTGAGTGCTGCATGTTTGTGGAGTTAAGTGAGGCCATTTAGTCCTGTCCCGTTTAGTAGAATCCCACCTAGCTCAGCAAGTTTCAATTCTGTCTGGCCCGGACCGCTTGCAAAACCACTGGCCCTGTGGCGGGGGGTCTTCAGGGATATCGCTGCTGATGCTGTGAATTAAACCTCTCTCCTGCGGTTTGACCTGTGCAGAAGGTGCAGAGTTCAAGGTCTGGTTCGCTTCTGGCCATGCACACGGCTGGCATTGACTTTGCCGTCTCTTGATCTGCAAAGCTACGAAAGTAGTACAGGATTTCCTGTGCAACACGTTGTGCTAAAGAAGGTGAAACGGAGAAGAAGGTTTATATTCCCTCCCCAAAGTTCCTAACATGGTCAGTTTGGGGTTTTTACCTGCCTGGGCCAGTGATTCCTCGGGTATAAGTCTCTTATTGCAGTGTGGTGAAGTTGCATATATTTGTCTGCTTAAAATATCAGGAGGGGTTTTTTTCCTTCCATTTCCTCTGCTTACAGGATACAGACTTACTGCAGTCTCAAAACTCATATATCATGGTTTTTTTTTTATTGACTTTTTCATCTAGTCTTAATGTTTCATTATGAAATGCCCATTTCATAAAAAAAAGGGTTTGAGGTTTTTATAAAAGCTTTATTTTCAGACTTCTTGTCTCTTCTGATTCACATCCTGTGTAGTCTGTGCTGTTCGTTGAATTAAGTAATCCCAGAAAGTTCAGGGAGTTCGCAACCGTGTAAATGACTGTGGACTTCAGCTGCATGGAGATGGCCGTAGTTCAGATTCAGGTAAGAGTGCAAATGAGCTAAAATTGGTGAAATGTTTTTGCAGTTCAGAACACTGAGGGGGCGGTGCATTAACACTGTTGACTGTGCTGTCATTGGCCACACTGAGCCCTGGTACCCCGTTGATGACCCTTCAGTTTTGGGCTTCCTAATTTCCTATTCCTGGTGCTTGGCAAGAAAACCAATGGTTTACCGCGATCTTGGCTCCACAGGAGCTAAGGATGGCTTCAAGGTTAAGAGTTGAAGGTGTTGCATTTCATGGCTGGAATTCCTAATCGTATTGTGTTCAGTTTCGGGGATGGTAGCGAGGGGCTCTGCTGCCGTAGGTCCAGAGATCAGCAGACATGGGCCTTGGAAGGTCTGCTCTAGGGCCCGGCTGGGAACTGGGGGTGTGGCAGTGTGAGAAAGGGGGTTGTGGGGCAAGCAGAGTGCACTCTTGTAATTAGAACAATTGTAACCCCCCCCTACATACCTGCAGAGATGTCTCTAGAACTTCCCTCACCTTTGTTTTTCCTCTAGGAAGCAGGCTTTACTCCCATCAGTGGCATCTTCTGTTGCCAAACCACAGAGGTCTCATGGGGAGGGAGTTTGCTCACTGAAGGCCGAGGCAAAATCGAAGTGCAAAAGGTGGCTAAAATTTGCAAGTGAACCATTGGGTTACCTTGCCCGACGCCTTAAAAGAGCCTCTCCTGGGCTGAAGGAGGCTGCATGATTACCTCTGCTATGTAAAGCAGGGGGACGGGCCGATTTTGTCTCCAGCTTGATGTTAATCTGTGCCCGATGCAGGAGCGGGCTCTTCCAGGCTCACTTCATTCTGCCGGTCGTTTGAGAATTGGGACCTTTTCATGTAATCATCTGATGCAAAGTCGATTGTTTTCCATCAGAGCTGGCTAGACTGGATGTGTAAGTTTACACGGGGTGTTCAGTGCCTTTGCTCTTGCCAAATTAGTCTCAACGGGCTTTCAGCTGAAGAATACTGCTCTTTCTTTTGAAGAAAATCTAGTGTTATGGTTTTGTAATGGTCAGTTAAACCGCAGGGCTGTCCGCGGGGGTCCTGGCCTGCCGGACAGCAGAGTATGGGTGCTGATGGGTGTGAAGATATCCTAGCTTGAGCTGTGTGAAGCTGCTCAAGCCCGTTTCAGCAGACAATCCACTTGGTTTCATTCATAGTTCTGAATGACTTTGTACCGAAGGGGGAAATGTGCTATGTGATGGAAGGAAAGTTGAAAAGTTCACTTCAAACGCTAGGGCATCTTTCTCAGAGCCGTCGGCAGCAGGCTGGTGTTCTGCCCTGGTGACTCTACCGCAGCTAGCGTGTGAGGTTGGGCTCGTCGGGCTGATCTGACTGGCAGGTAGCCAGGCCCGAGCACGGGGTCCCGGGCTGCTCGAGAAGACGCTCCCGGATGTCGGCGGGCTGCCTGCGAGCGCCGGCGGCCGCGGCCGTGTGCCGCTGCACCCTGCAGAAGTGCGAAAGGGAAGCGCACACTTCCTGCTCGCCGCCCCGCCACGCTGCGCCGTCTGCAGCGAGCACCGCTGTAGCGCACAGTCTGTGCCCAGGCGTGCTGGGTGTGGTGTTCAGATTTTAGACAGGCTTGAAGACTGTTCAAGAGGACACGCGCTCCCAGTCTGAGGCGGCCTGAACAGCGTCAAGAGTACATCCTTTGTTGGAACTGGTGTGAGGTGCATCATCTGTAAAAGAATAGGATTTTAAACACAAAATGGGAGCTAAACGTTGAGCTAATAATTCAGGAAAGAGTGGAGAAAAAGATCAGTGCCACGCCAGTCTTAACATGTGAAACATTTCACTCAGATGCTGTTTTGACTGCTGGAATTGTGCTTGATGATGATGATGATTATTATTATTATTGAGAGTGCCAGAGAGCTGTTTCAACCATTTCTGTCGAACATGAAACTTGCTTTTCTCTTGCGTAGAGAGGGGTGGCTGGAGAATGTAGGCTTCTTACATGAAGGTTAAAATTAAAATAAATGACTTTTTCCACAGTAACTCCATTATCACATAAGTGGTCATTGTTGGTAAGGGGCGTTGGGGCTCAGCAGGCAGGGTGCCTGCTGTGACACAAGCCACTCGGCCAGGTGCCTGAGGCTGATACCCTGGTTTCCATGAAGAAAGGGCTGTAGACTTAGGATTGATGGCTCAATTAGCTACTAACCACTAACCAGGCCAGATGGTCCTTTTGCCCTCGTCTCGTTTGTAACCTTTCTTCCCCTCTCACGATGCATTACTTGCATAGGATGTGATTCTTTTTGCAGAGAGAGGCTGGTGGAGTGGTGACACCAGATTGCCTGTTCAGTGTTGTGATAACAGGTGCAACGTTACTGTTCACTCATGTTAATTTTGTATCATCAGAAGGTTTAAAACTGTCAGTGTCCAAATCTGTCCCATGCGTTTTCTTAGAAGCAGCGTGTTTGTCATGTTCATCTGATTTTTTTGGGAAGCTAATTAGGAATCGCCACTTGTGTAATTTCTTGACATAATTTAGAAGCTATACCAATTTCAGATGAGAGCAAGACTAATATGTGCATCAGCCTATTTTATTTGTACAGCGTGATACTGGAACATTTTTCAGCTCTGGAACACTTGTCCTAAACTAAGAGTGATTCTGAAAGCAATTCTAACTTGAGATTCAAAGCACATCTCCACAGAGCATTTCTTGGAATGCATAATAAAGCACGTTGAGTCTTAAAAAGCCAAGGGAATAAAAGGATAGGAAAGAATTTTCTTATTTCAAAGAGCTGAATAGTTATTGTAAAATTAATAATTTTGTATCAATAGCTGAGAACACCTTATAAAAGATCAGACTTCTTCAGGACTAATGTTGGTGGAACTCCATTGCTTCTCGGAGGTCCTGTGACTTCTACTGCTCACTGGCCCATGGGTCATGTGACTTGTTTCCTGTACCAGAAATCACCTGACCTGTACTGTGTCCCCCAAGAGTCACGTGACCTCTGCACCGCACCCATCATAGAGGTGGGAGGTGGGCCTTTTAAAATGCATTAAGATTAGAAGTGAAAAGGCTCAAGAATGCACTATAATTACTAATTTATTTATTTAAAGGAGCGACCTGAGACAAATTAGTTGAAACTGTCCATGCTTCTCAAGTTTGTAAAGTCGGTGCAGTAACCCTACAGCTATCTGTGGATGGCGCTATAGTTTAATTTAACTCTAAAATGAATGTCCAATAATGTAAAAACATCATTCTTCCACTTCAGAAATATTGCCAGACTACGTCCTATGTTGCTGCTAACTGTTGCTGAAAAGCTGGTCAACACTTTTGTGTACTCTCATATTGATTACTGTAGTGACCTACTCTCTGGGGTATCTAAATCCACCCTAAACAAACCTCTCTGCATCAAGAATTCAGCAGCCAGAATCCTGACCAGGTCTAGTGCAAGTGATCACATCACTCCTGTCCTGAAGTCCTTGCACTGGCTTCCTGTCAGGTTTCATGTCGACTTCAAAGTCCTTGTGCTCTCCTATAAGGCTCTGCGTGGTTCGGCACCTCATTACCTACCTGCCTGTCTTACTTTCCACCTCGCAAGCATCATTCATCTAATTCTCTTTTCCTGTTTGTCCACCAATTCTATCCCCGGATCACAGAGTTGCCTTGCCTAAACACTTTCAAATCAAAATTCAAAACCTTCTTCTTTAGGAGGATTTTCATTTAATTGCTTTGCTTTCCTATTGTATCCCAAATGCTATTAAAATTGTATAATCCAATATTATTATTATTATTATTATTATTATTATTATTATTATTATAGAAGAGTACAGCAAAGAGATGTCCATGGGTGTAAGTTTACAGTGAAAGCAGAACTGCTTTATTAAGTCAAAGAACAGTGTCAAAACGTACATATATTTTTCTATTTTATATTATTATGATATACATTTTATCAATATTTTATCAAATGTCCTGATTACATTGTAATCATGAGACAGGTTACATTTATTTTTAGCGTATTATGTAAACTGAGCAATTCAGAATGATCTGGTGTGGGTCAGGTATGCGTTGTTTGTTTCCATAATAATAATAAAATGTATAAATAAATACATAAAACATACTGAAGAGCAATTCCTTAATGGACCTGCAGCCTGAAATCATTTTCCCATAATCCTACTCATCTTTTTCTACAGAAGCTGTCAGTAACTACCTGTTCAAGATATATACCTCTTATCTCAGCCTGTCTGAAGCACACCACACAGCAAAGATATAAATGATTTCCAATTTTCACAGCCCAGAACTCTGAACACTGTGCCCCGGGCCAGTTGTTTGCTTTGCACATCTGTGTGATTTCAGAGCTGTGTAGATGCACTTTCTAATCTCATCTCTGTAATTGGGTACAGAAAATACTGATCAAACACGGGCAATATTTAGTACTTTTGCAGTTCAGCTGCTTTGCCGTTCTGTCTGTTGTCCTGCGTGTTTTATCTAAAGAGAACGAAACGCAAATTCAGTCTTTTCGACGGCTTGAAATTCCTGAGGCTCAGATCGGCTGTTTTAGTTTCCCTCCACAGGGCTGCCTTCTGTGTTTTACATCACAAACTAGGAACCTGGAACCTCTCTCTTATTAGCTCAGCAATGCTTTCTGTAGAATTGCAGCTGTTGACAAAATATTTTTTTTCCCCCAAGAAACAGTGAACATATTAACAGGAAAAGGTTCATGCCAGGTGGTCCGGTCCTGTTCCTGGAAGGCTGGTGTATCTGCAGGTTTTCTATGTCTCTTTAAAACAGGAGCAGCACCTGAAGAGTTGGGAGAAGCTGTTAAACTGGTCCAGTTAAGAAAGTAACCAGCTCTTTTAGTCAGGATTGGATTTATACCTATATATATTTAAAGACCAAATAATCTCTGTCAAAATGATATACCGTCTTTATAGTACATAACACAACACAGACTGCAGTAACGCCAGCATGTAGCCACAGAACTAACAGGTGTGCCGCAGTGTTTGACTATCTTAATATCTGTTACTGCAGCTTGACACGATCACTGCATGACATCACAGGTAAATGGTGGACCAGTGGGCTCTGAGAGAGTGAGGCTTAATTCAAGTTTCATGAAATTCAGGACAAATCACCACAAAAGTTCACTATGGTTACTTTAAGTCTGCAAATATATCAAGTAGGTACTGTAGCTGCGTCAAAGAACAAGTAAAGGTTTATTTCATGCCAAAAAAAGAAAAGAAACAACATTTCAGCTGTGGAGCCACACCCGACGAAGGCTCCTCATTTGCAAATATGTACTTAAATTGCAAAATGTACTCAAATCCAGTCAAACTTGAGTACATGTATTACCAAGCTTTTACAACATCAAAATGATTTTGCAAGATGTGGAAGTGCATTTAAAACTGAGCACAAGATGCACTATGCACTACTTTACCCAAAGGGTGGTGGAGGTGTGGAACAAGCTATCCAGGCATGGGGTAGGAGCCGACACCCAGGCCTCTTTCGGGAAACAGCTGGAAGACATTGGCAATTACTACTTCCTACCGAACAGGCCAGATGAGAGGAAGCAATTCGGCCTGTTTGTAACTTTTCCTTCTTTCTCATTCACTCGAGCGCTGGCTCCCAGTCCTGCTCCTGGGAACTCACTGGTGTGTGCTCCAGCCCAACTCTCAGTTTTACAACCAAACCCTTCATTACTTATGGCTTAATGAGAAGATTCATTTGAATTGTTTATTCCCAGCTTAACCTCTGTGTTTTGTCAGTGAAACAATCACCCAAACTTGTGACTGCAATAAAAATGCAAATATTCAGGTGAAGCAACTTCTTCCTGGATCAAGCAAGGGAATAAACAGACAGAGAGTGTGTGGTAAACTCTCCCCACCTCCCTTAACCTAGCAAGTTCATTTTTTTATCTATTAAAATAGCAAATTGTTCCAGACACCCACCTCCCACCGAAATTGCTCTCAAAATCATATTCGCAAAAGGCACTTAAATCGACCAAACGTTTTCTGAGAAGGAGCACTATTGCCCTCTTGAGGTCATATGTTAAAATTGCAGCGTCAGGGTTTCACGAATACAATGTGCCGGTATTTACATACTGTAGGGAACTTTATAGAACTCAGTTATATGTCGGTTATAATAATTTCCTCAACACACACACAATGACAAAAAAAATCCAACCATGGATATATGTAATGGTTTGTACACTAATTGCACAAACTAATGGAAGTGGTCACCACAGGGCACTACTAAGAGAGTCCACTTCTTCAGTGCATCAGCTATATGCATATGATCATGAAAATACAGACTCCTACTTGTTACTGATTATGCTTTAGGTCAACCCAGCTCTGAAGTATTATTATAATAGGTTCTTGATGACTATTATGGTGATTACATTGCACCCTCTCTGAAATACATCTGAAATTTTGTCTATAAAAAAAGTCATATTTGTGTCCTTCAGGGTGTTTATGCCCGCACCAGTTTTATTCACACCTTCAACCTGAAGTACGAGGAAGGCGTACAAACCCAGCGAAGCGCACAGGCCTGTCGAGGGAGACTCGATCCCAACGCACGCAAACACACCCTCAGTGAACCAGCAACGCAGGACGAAACGAGGGATTTCTTACCTCCAGAAATAACCCCCCGCCTGCTTCACTGACGCACTGCAGGTGGGAATGGGGGATTCGTACGCGGGCTCAGACTGGCCCCCAGTTCCTCAACCGTTAACTCACGGATCCCTTATTAAAAACACGACGATTGCTAATTAGAAAAGGTTGAATGTCTATAGGATCCCGAACTGCTATAGGTATATAACATATTGCAAGCATTTTATGACCTGCTATTTGGTAGGTCAGCTTGTAACTGACGTCTGTTATGATTACTTTTGCTATTGGGGGTTTCATTTAAACTCAGCTGGACTGAAAACTTAACAGACCAATATTGGCACATTCTATCTCGGTCTCTAAAAGTTTTTTATTCAGGGGTTCCGAGTCTAGTTCCTTAACAACCCTAGGACCTGAGATGTCTTTTATAGGAGTAGTTCTTGATCTATTTTATGACTCAGTTAGAGCAGGGAATTCCAGTTCCAGTCCTGGACTGCCATTGGCTCTGAATCACTTAATTGGTTCCAGCAGTTGCTTAATTAAGGGGCGTTAACATGTTTTTCTAATCGCTGCTCCCTGCTATTATAGGCAGCTTTATAAGACTCCCAAGACTCTCTCCAGGCTGAGGGTAGCAGTGTCCCGTCTGCCCTTTCTTTCCTGCTTTTAAAAATGTTGAAAGTGCGACCTCTAGTGGTTACATACAGCACTGGAACTGCATTCCTCTTCACCGATATAAGGTTGGAAAAAACCACAATACCTACCCAAAACAAACATGCAAGTGTTAATGAAGGCTCCAACATTTTTATATTCACACTCAGACATCCTTGTCCCGCCCTTCTCTGCAACGTCGTCTTCTGCAGTGCAAAGATGCGAGGCCCAACACAGTGCAATAGGTAAACCACATACTTTATTTAAAATACAGAACAAAAAACATTGCCAGGTAGAAATTCTTTTCCATTTCAATACAAATATTTCCAAAAAGTAAAATAAGTATTTCAAGAGGAAGGAAAAAAAAAACTCTCATACGACATCACACCCGCTCTCAGAGCTCCTGGAAGAAATGTGAGACAGTACAGTTGTAAGAGAGCACAACATACAGCACAGCTTCGGTCTAACACATGGAAATTTCATCACCAAGAATAACACCTTCACTTCTGGTTGACCAGACTGACGTTCTGCAGCGGGAACTTAAAACCATCCCCGAAGGAACGATCGCGGAGGCAGGATTAAAATCCATCCCTCCGACAGATATCCAAGATTCAAAGCTAACCCAGATGGAAAAAGTCTTTTTCGAAGTTGCTTTACTTACAGATCAACCTAACAAGGGTTCCCCCCTTCCTTCAAAACTTTGGACTCTTCTTCACGCACCTCAAAATCATCGATCGCATACAATTTAAAACTGCTACACGACCAGGCCCCTTTGAATAATAATAATAATAATAATAATAATAATAATAATAACAAAAAGACTTTGAGAGCTGCAAAACAAACAAGCCAGCTTCTTCTGCAACACTGATTCCAAGGACCTGCATTCTCACTCTGCAGCTCCGACGAGGACACCGTCTACACTGAACACGTTCAGCCTCGAGCGTTTCACTCTGAGCGGCAGGCGGCTGCACAAGCTGGTCTTTATGCACTCTGGCTGTTCAAAGTAATGTTAGGTCTCAATTTCCTTTCTGAATTGCAACCGCAGCACTCCTGGGGAGGCCCGGGAGGCAGACTCGGGTCCTGGAGACAAGCAAGCGGACCACAGGTTTAGCAGACTGAATCAGGAATAGTGGGACATCATCCCTCCTGTCACCGAGGGGGAGAGCACCCAGCCCGCCCAAAGTCATTTTTAACAGTACCTTTCATTTCCTAACCTGCCATGACACCGGCCACACCGCGGCGGCGGATGGTTACCATCGTGGGGGGGAGCCACGCAGAACTGCTTTTAACAAGATGAAGGACTACCTTGCTGCTCTCACCACATGGTTATTTGGTTATCAAGAGAACAGGAGATACGCATGGCTAAAAACCCAAAGTAGCCGCCACATCGCTAGTTTCTTCCTATTGTTACTGCCGCAGGTGGAACCTGAATTATTCCAAAATGGTGCTGAATCGGTTACAATTCACATTATAGAAAACTGAAGTCAGTTCAGCTGTCCGGTTTTTGTTATGTGTTCGGGGAATTAAATGAAATCCAGACTGACAGATCTTTAAAAACGACAAACCTAAGGCCCCACAAATTCTTCGAATACTGATGTTAAACCTCTGCAGAACACAACAGTTACTAAACTAAGTGGCAACATGGTGTACATTAATGAAACTGTAGAAGCCACACGTCCTTCAGAAATGCCATGATTTAAATAACTTACTGAAGCTGAACAAAGACCTAAAATGTATAAGGAAAAAAAAAGTTAAGGTTTAAGGTTTCTACTAACTTTATAAATGTTGTTACACCCCTGGTCTGTATCATTTCAGCCTGCTTCATTAAAGGGAGTTTTCAGAAGAGAATTGTGATCTTAAACATTTTAAATAGTTTTGCTTGAACAGGAACAAAAAAATCCCAAATCAGTGGCATTAAAAAAAAAATAACTCCACTTTTTTTTAGTCCTTATTAGAACTCAATTATTAAAATGCATTTAGAAAATAATTTACATAGTCTCGGTATCATTTCAATGTGGATTTCTAAAGGGCTCTCTCTCTACTGGAATTTCATGCAATGCTGAAAAGACCCAGGCTAGCAGCTCTCATGCCATCTTCAGTTCCTCCTTTGCCCTGTGGAGTGAAGAAAATCTTTTTTAGCAGTGCCCAGTTTTACCAGCACTGGTCTCCCACTTAATAACCTTTTACAATTCCATACCAGAGCATTTAGATCACAGATTGCTGGGAGCAGTCTTAATCAAGAATAGCAGAAAACACCTACCCAAACAGAATCCTTTTGTTCCTTCCACATTTGGAAGTAAACTACACCACAGACCTGTTTAATAGAACAAAGCTTTAGCTATCCACTAGACGTAATGTGCTAATATCTAATACGTTATTGTGCTGATAACAAATCGGAAGCACTTAACTCACAGTTGAAATGGCTAGCCTAGAAAGGAAAAGCTAAAGCAGACTGATTCTGCTGCAAGGTGAGCCACACTTGGAAGAACCCCAGAATCACCATACCTGCTGTGAGAATTTCTTGGAAACAGAAGGATTGAATGCCGTATGCACAAACCATGCTTTCTTCCTACTGTTGGCCATATAATCCTGTTATATGATATACGCTCTGATGACATATAGCTAACCAAGTGATCTTAAAACAAGATACTCTAATCATGCTGGAGCAGCGATCCAAACAAGATTAAATTGATTTTTATCTAATAGTTGGACCAGTTTTCATTTGTTGGAACCCATGTGTTTCTAGTGTCGTAGCAGATCTTAAAAACACCTACCCCTTTGTTTCCATTTTTTCTTCTGCGGCTTTCTCCTCCTCTTTTACATCTGAAATAAAACATGCCATATGAGCCTTCAAGCCTTCTTTCACTTTAGAACACAAGAATGGCTCCTCTCGTTTCTAACTATTCAGCCAGTCAGGGTAGCAGGTTGAAGGTAAAATCATCAAGTAACACTATAAAAAAAAAAGCGCTTGCTGTTCTCTGCTTTAAAATGCACTTTCCTTTAGTTTCCACTTGTGTAGCCTGGTTCTTAACTTACACACCTTAAATCAAACCCTTCATAAATAATTGAGACAAGTTAAAAAATGAATAAGGGGGCAAACATGGTCATTAAAAGGGATGTTTAGAAACGGGATACACATGAATTTATCACTTTAGAGAATTTCTCACATCTACAAAATAACCTCATACCAGTGATTAAGCTCAGAAAACTGGTTTCATCTTGTCACCCACCCTTCTTCTCCTCTCCATCCTTCTCCTCCTCCGTTTTCACTCTCTTTGCCTTCTTGAAACTGGCAGCGTTCTTTCTGCCACCCTGGCCTTCATCCTCGGAGTCCGAGAACTCCTCATCACAGGCTATCCTCTTGTCGTGAGCCCGGACTGCAGCAAACAAGCGGGCCGTCAGACTGAGGGTTTCCGCGCATCAACTGACCGTACCACACACTGCCACACAGGGACCGGACGCTCATCCCGTGTCAAGACACAGGGCCCGGGCCTCCGGCGCCGCCATTCCTCAACCAGGACCGGCAACAGCCCGATCCACACTTTACACAGGACGCAAAACAAAATCCCTACCTACATTCAAATGGGCGATATTTTAAAAAAAAGATTCAGAAAACAAAAGAGAACGGTCACCGATTCTCTTACCACATGGCTAACAGTTCATGTATCTACAGTGGGCACGCATTTCAAGCGAAGATGTACCCTTAGCTGCATTAAACTACTTTATCTTATATAATACTTAATTGTATACACCGATTGTTTTATTCAAGCCTCTCAAACCTTAAAAGGCCCAGATCTGTCAGTCTACCACCCTCTGCCCGCGCCCCCCACCCCCAGGGACCCACTCACTGGAGATGCGCTTGTCGGGGTCCTCCTCCTCCTCGTCCCCACTGTCCTCCTGCACGGCGTCCTCGGGGATGGCCTGCATCTGCACCCCTGGCGCGTGGGGCAGCATGCGCAGGTTCTCGAACAGGCGCTGCCTGCGGGGAAATCGCACCCGTGAGCTCGCCCGCCCAGCCCGCGCCAAGACACCCGCACGCCACACAACCTGGATGAGCACATGAAGCAGCCGAGACAGGCACCTGTCCACCCAGGCACAGAACGGTTCTCACGCAACAACATTTTAGTGCTTATTTCCAACCACGGGCAGTATAGTGGTATAGTGTTTCGGGCTCTGGGCCTCTCAGCAAAAGATTGTAGGTTCAAATCACAGGTGAGACACTGTTGTTGTACACTTCAGAAAGTTACTACAGCAGGCTGAGTGAAGTAAAATGCCTAGCTGCAACAATGGTTGCAAATCTAGGATGCTTTGGATAAATGTGTTTTTAGTATTTACTTGCAGCAGACACACTTTCAGAGCTCGAAACTATGCATGTGTACAGAAACTGGTTAAAAACCAGAAGAAAAACAAATCACTTACTTTATTTTCTCCAGGTAATCATTTGTGTTCTGGTTAGTCATGTTTGAGGGGCTGATGTGGAGCTTGAAATCAGGTCCAAAGTATTCAAAGTAATCGTTATAGGGTAGCTCTACAAAGCAAGGAAAGATCAGAAGACAAATGTAAGGAATTTGAAAAGGAGTCTTAAAAGTTATTGCTTGCTATACAACTGAGTGAAGTTTTTTCCCTCAAGCAAATGAGAAGAAAGTGAAGAGGAGTAATACGTCTTGCAATCTTGCAAAAACACTTGGTAACAAGCAGCACAGATTTCCAAACCAAAGTCTGACAAAATCTGATTTTCAAGATAAAAGGGTAACTTCTAATTTCTGATTTAGCATGTTCCAAAAGATACCAATCCCAGGTGTGCCGGTGAAGCACCGCCCTGCTCGAAAAACGCCAAGGCCTCCAGCTGCCCCGCGGCAGGACTGACCGTTGGGAATGGTGCTGTCCAGCGCCACGGCGGTCTCGTACGTCCAGCAGCGTGCCACGTTGCGGATGGTGTAGCCTCCGCCCCCCAGCATCAGCAGGGGGAGGTTGAAGCTCTTCATGTACTCCACACACTTGGCGTGGCCTGAAACACAGAGATCAAACCGGGCTTGAATCGCGGGACCCGGAAAAACCCACGCAGCCGTGAGCAGAGAAACAGGCCGACAGCGTGCGAAGCAAAAGGGAAGACGAGGCGCAGGGCGACGAGCACAACCTGCCTTCGTCTCTCCCACTGGACATGAGGCAGCGTCGCAACAAGAAGACCCGGTTTTTACGAGTTCTTTGCTCAATAACCTAGGAGCTTAGCACGGCGTGACCGGCCTCGGCACAAGAGTATAAAACAGAATCAATGGAAATTGACTTCAAAGGAACTGACCACGCATGTAAGCTTATCATTGCATAAAAATGCAAAACATGAACAAAAAAAACTACTACAGGGACTTCAAAGGAGGAACTTTTGGAACTCTGCCTCCTAAGGTGCCATTTCAGAACACAAAATGTAGACTTTTTCCAAGGGTACTAAAACTGTTTTAAGTTTTAACATCACTGAAATATCATGCTCAGTGTGGTACGAATGCTATGGTAAAAACTACACAGCATTAAATAAAACGTCATCAGTTCTCCCAGACCTGAACTGTTTAAGAGGTTTCATTTACACTATATCATGGAGAGTACACTTTAGGGGAGCTGCAGGGCAGCCACACCCAACATTAGATCATTTCTGCACTTGCAGAAGCAACCTTGTATAGTTTTAGACATCGCCAAACAAATCCGACAACCAAAGACAGATGCGAGATCCACCAGGAACTGGGGCACACGAATACTACGTATAAAGCTGTCCCCGTCATTCAGCCTGTGCGATGTCTGGCCGCATTGCTGGGGCACATGTACCTTTAATTGTCAGGTTGAAACACCCAAGCCTGTCCCCAGATAACGAGTCCGCACCACACTGAAGCACAACCGCGCTCGGCTGGTACATCTCCATCACTTTGGCCATGATCTAAAACAGGCAGAGACGCATTGTAAGCAAGGATCCGGTGCAGTGAGCAATGTATATGAAGCATACGACAACAGTCACACACGAGAGATGGCCATTCAACCCATCCAGCATCCTTTTGGTAGCAATTATCTTAACTGCTCTCTCCAAGGATCTCATCCAGCTGTTTCTTACATTCAACATATATTCAATAATATCCAACGTGTTGTACAACAAGCATGTACTAAAAATAATCAATTCATAAGAAACTGAGGTTCGCTGGCATATTAAATCACCATAGATATTCAATAGTAACGAAATCGCTACCTATGTTCAGATCAGGATGCGTGTTAAGAGTCTATGAACACAAATGTGTTTTGTATAGATGCTTTAACTTTTTCCAGAATTTTACTGTAAATGGGTCATTCATTAATTAGGTATAAATTAAACTAAGTTATGCAACTAAAGTCTTACTATCCGTTTCATAAAGGTAACCCTCACAGGTTTTATTGGAAGAAAAGGCAACTTACTGGTTTAAATATGGCTTCATAAGACTCATCATCTATTCCATCCCTGAGTGGGTAGTTCACAGCATAATACTTGCCCTTGCCTGCTCCAATGTCCTGCACAAGAACAAGGGGGATTTTTGCCATCAATGCACTTACAAAAAAACACAGCCTGTATACGTATGAACTAGAGCAACACCAGGCTGAAGCTTTTGTCCTTTGAACTGCCTTGTGCGAGGGCTGACTGCGGCACCCGTCTTGAAGGAGCACTGCTGCTGCTTACACTTCCAACACCATGTGGAAACGCAAAGAAATACTGACCCAGCAGGCGAGACAGAAGAAAGGCATGATTCTACTCCCATGTTTAAAAGTTTTAATGCTCCTTACAAAACAGTAAAACCTTTCAACTACGATATCAATTTTTGTCATACGCAGATAAAGGACGGACAAGAAAGGCAATGGATATATTCTCTAGTCCGTCACCCCGGACTCCCAGCAATGAATTGCAACACATAAGCAATTGATGAATTCCCCGATCAATTAGTACACTTTTGTGCCCGTGCACTGAATTCTCTACCGCACAACTATTTTGGGAAAGCAGTCCAGCTTGACTTCGCCTAATCGGAAAGCCACTTGCAGAGTTAAATGTATTGTGGGCACATTCTGCAGGGCAGGAAAGCCACGTGCTCCACAACGCACTGTACATTGTCAAAGATGTGAAAAACCCTTTTGTCACTCACTCGGAGATCTCCAGTGCCAGGGAAGTATTCTCCGTATTTATGAAAGGACACAGTCATGACTCGGTCTGTGGTGTAGAAAGCTTCCTCCACGCCATCTCCGTGGTGTATATCAATGTCGATGTAGAGGACTCTTTGGTGGTATCTAAAACAGACAAGTCAGGTAAACCTGCATCACCTCCTAGGCAGGACAAAGGGGATTCCAAAATTATGCAAAATAACAAAACGCAGAAAGTAAACTTGATTTTTTTCCCTTCCATTGTAATTCCAAAGATGAAAAGTATTATAAAATACCACAACGAATCAAAAACAACTTTAATAATGAACAGCCATGGTCACTGTTCTGAGTGGAGTTTAAAAACAACATGCTCAGCTCAAAACAAAAAAAGGGACACCTCAGCTTACTTCAACAGCTCCAGGATGGCTAGGACAATATCGTTCACGTAGCAAAACCCAGAAGCCTCTGATTTCTTGGCGTGGTGAAGCCCGCCAGCCCAGTTGATGGCTATATCAGTCTGCTGCTTGTTTAGTTTCACTGCCCCAGCTACAGAGAGAAAACAGTTACTTCTTAGTGCTAACCCCCAGAAAGGACTACATACAAAGTTATAAACAGCTGTTTTGCACGCCTCTTCCCTATTCCTGAGCTCCAAATGTTAACAGTATCACAACACGGCAGGAATTTTAGTTAACAGGACATCATTCTTTTTGATCACACTAACCCCGTTGTTCTCATTTAAGAGCGTTACATTTATTCATCTTGAGCTGCTTGACTTGGGAGAGAGGAAGTTAATCTCCCCTGGCTAACGTGACTAAAACAAGACAACGATAACCACAACTGTTCAAAGCAAGTGTAGGTGTGGTTATAGCACATTCACACTTGAACAACTCGTACCGCTTTGTTCCCATCAACTCCAATTTACTTCACAGAACTACTACAGTTAAACGGGATAATCATACAGACTACAAAAAAAATAATCACTTCATTAAAACATTAACTTTCAGATTAGTCTTTTAAAAATAAATGCCAACGAAACTTGAAACCGACCCACTGAACCTCCTGTGGACAGCTGGCAGAACTCGAAAAGCCCATCAAACACAGGACAGTCTTCTCCAACGTTAACTGCAACGCAACAAGAAAGAAGTATGATCTTTAGATGGAAATCAAGGGCAACTTGCAACTGAAATCTTTCACTTTCCAGACATGACAATGAGATCATTAAGACCACGGAGCGTGCTTCATAGTTCTCTACTCTTTGAGTTTTCAGCCATATCGGGAGGAACAGGACCTTGCTGCAGGGAGACAGAAAGTCTTGTTAGCCTCTCTGTTGGAGAGGCGTTTTAATGCAAAGTTTTTCCAAGTGCATGCACTGACACCCACTCTGCACCGAAACCACCTTTACTGGGACACCGAGGAGCGCCGGAAAAGGGCGTCAAGCCACACGTCGGGGCTGGGAGCGGGGCACACACTTCCCAACCTCACATCTGGGGAAGACTCCCTACACGGGCGACCTCGCCCCCACGTGCACCGCGGCAACTGGCCACCGTCTATCAACGTCCACGGCCAACAACCCTCACGTTACCTCCGTCTCATCCCTCCTCCTCCTCAACGCCCGTCGATGGGCTGCGCAGGGCTCCGCTGGCCTCTACTCACATCTCTGCATCTGCTTGCTGTACTCCGACATGTTGTCCGGGCGGATCGACCTCAGGAACTTGATGTAGTCGTCGCTGTGGTACTTGGTCATCTCCTCGGCGTTCGCCTTGTGCGGACGCTAAGGAGACAGGGGAACGGGAACGTGAACACACGGAAAGAAGCCGCACTTCCCAAAATCCCGACAGGGTCGTCCTGGGACCAGGACCCTTGCAGCCCATCCATGTCAACAGCCTTCCCTTACTTCCTTCGGTGTCCCAGATGGGAAACGTGCTTTCCTGCCAAATAAAAGGAGGTACTCTTTGTGTTACATTTAGTCCATTAAGAAATAAAAAAAAAACATACATAAGATTAAATACCAAGTCTGAAACTTTATGAAACTCTCGCAACTGAGGAACATTGATGGTCATCAGTGAGTGAAAAAGATACACATGATGAATATTGAACATAACAAATAACTAAACCTAAAGAGGCATCATGGGAACACTATGAATGCTTGAACATGACAACAGTACCAGATTATTTACTCTTTTAACAAGGCATCATGGACAGCCACTACAATTTGCTCCCTCGAAAACCCTGTAGTTTGAGGTCTGTTTGGCAAATATTTTAATACTTCACCATATTATTTATTCCTATCTCATTACCGGAGCACAAACAGAAACCCTAAATAAACACACAACTGGCACAACTGGAACAGGGACGGGACAGGGTTTATAAGTTACTAATGCATGCAGCAACATTATCCTGAGAGTAAAAGAGAGAGAGAGAAACACTCTCGTACTTACATAAATTTCCATCTTCCTGTACAGCCCATAGTTCAGGAGCAAGTTGTGGGTCATCCGGATTCGGTGTGGCTTCATGGGGTGACCCTGACCGTAGTAATAGTTCCCAACATCCCCTACGAGGGCAGGGAAGATGGGAAGGAGCTGCATTAGAATTGCTTTGGCATTCGCGAAACCAACAGCAACATAAACAAAAGCATTCATCTTCAAAATCCAGATTCCTCAACAATGTGCCAGTCAAACAAATGTATCTACTTTGAAACGATCTAGGAGATGAACACTGGTATGTTGGAGGACCAGAAAACGTTACAGACCATACACTGAGAACAGTAATTAAAACCACAAATAAAGTTTTACGAGCTTAGAGCACTACCACAAATGAATACATGACGATAAAAAAAACCTGTCTTGAACAGAGAACACTACTGTACTCGAATCAAAGGCTGAATATACTCAAAGGCACTGACACCATCATCCTAAAGGACATCTTCAAAATGAGCAGTGAAACACCACCCAGAGGTCACACGCGGAAGTGCATAGCAAACTCAGATAGGAGGCTGTCTTACTTTACATCAAGAGTTGTGGGAGTGCACAACAAGCTACCAAGTCATACTGCTGATGCCGAAACCCTGGTTTCTTTCAAGAAACAGCTGAATAAGGACATTGGATCAATTAGCTACCAACCAGAGAAAGGACTAGATGGGCAGATCGGCCTTCGCTTGTTTATAATGTATCCACGATGAACTCCACTGGACCAAAACCTACATTTTATGGCAACGTTCAGAATTAACCAAGCGCCACAAGTTTTACAGTCAGCACCACGATCGTACATTTGACACAAGCTAAACCCTCAGAGGACATCAAACTACCACCTCTGTGTACACTTATCATCTGTGCTCAAAGAAAGGCAAAACACTGCTCTTAAAAAGATAGGTGCACCCTCCAAAAAGGTGCTGGGTTAGTATCAGGAATAGTTATAAGCAACACAAGGTACATACCACAATCTTTGCGTGTTTATTAATGCGATGGATCCTAACCAGACTGCTGCCTGAAGATTTTACTGATCGTTTTTTTGTTCTCTTACACCCCTCAGCAAACTGCTAAAAACCTGCTTCTTCAGAAGAGCCTTTTTCTGAACTGGCTCTGATCTTCACCCCTCTGCTCCTACAGACTTTACTGCCCCTCTCATTGTGCATGTTCTGTATTATTGCCATAAAAACGAACCAACCTCCCGAGATAAAAAAAAAGGTGCATCTTTGGAGAAACTAAAGGAACGATTTAAGCAACTTGCTGTTGCTCGGTGGTTGCAAGGCCAGCTGCCCTGGCATGACTATTACAGGCTCGGAGGAGCGAGTCCACCCATGGCGGTCCGTGCGTGTCAAGCCACACCGGGCGACAGGGCCGAGGGGGCAAGGGGCCCCCACACAGCGAGCCCACGCAGGAGCCCCTCTCCGGCGGGGAGATGCCTGATGGAGGGGCCACTTCAGCCCTGTCTAGAGGGGGGGGGCTGGTGTCAAACGAGCACAAGGGAGAGGAAGACCTCGCTCCCCCGCCTTGACGCATCCCGCCGCCCCGCTGCAAATCGATTCACAGCGGCTGCATCCACCGCCGGGAAAAAAAAACAAAACAAAAAAAAACCCCGCACAGCATCAATAATTAAGCCTCTTTTTTCACTCCCCGGGTGTGCGGCATGTCGACCCCTCCGGGGGGGTAAAAATAAATAAATAAAAGAGACGCAGCAGCCCGTCTTTTTACCGACTCAGGTAACCCGGTCGCCGGGGGGAGACGGGCGACTTCGGGATTATTATGATGGCCAGTATGACGCGGGACTGGGGGGGAAGAAAACCAGCATGCAAACGCTGGAAAAGCCGCTGGAGACCACTGTGCATCGATAATTCAAATTTAGACCCCGCTTCAACTTATCCTGGCCATGATTTTAACTACGTTGCCCGGCAGCCCTCTTACTGCGGGAAGGAGGGGGTACGAGATGCTGCATGGCTCTATGAGCGCTTGGCCGGCGGACTCACCCCCCCCTCCTCCTCCCCCCAAAAAAAGGCTTTAAAAGAGACGATAAACGCAGCCCTCCCGGGGAATATCTCCGTGCGTGCACGTTACGCCGGCCGGGTTTTAGGAAAATACAACTTAAACTTTACCCTTACCGTCATAATAATAACAAACTTTTTTCTTTGTTCCTTGAGTCAGCGCCATTTTACCTCCAGACACAGCCACGGCCTGTCTACCGGGCGCTACGCAGCCCTAGCCACAACCGGGAACCTGGATTGACACCGCTGGAGCCAATCAGAGACTAGCTCGGACCGTAGCGGGCGGCCGTCTTTCCCCCTTTTGTCCAATCGCGTCCTTCGCAGGCGAATGGGTTATCCGCCCCTCTACAGAAGATAAACAAGGGTATGAAACTGTGTTTCTTTGAGCGCCATCTTGGCTCCGGTTATCCGTCCAGTTCAACCCTAAAGCGGTGTTCTCCGTGGGATCCAAAATGGCTCCAGTTTCAAAATGTCCAATATTCGGAAATCTCATTTTTACTTCAGGACTGTACCATTGTGGTTTAGTGTCCAGGGCGGCAGGGGTAACAATAAAATCGAATTAGACCAAAATAAATTTAAAAATATTTATATGATAAGATAAGTTTATATTTTTGGCGCTAATTCGTTTTAAGGGGTCACTTAATACTGTTTTTACATTGCGCTACGTTCATGGTATGAACCAGGTAGCTACGTGCAGAAAGCCAGCCTTATTTTTTAGGCTTGGAACTGGTGTTTGTAATGACTGGTTAGTAATATCACAAAATACCCAGTGTCACTTGTTAAATATTACTTTTGAGTGACATGAAAGTTCCAAATAATTTTCTGTTGGCTTCACTATGGCATTGCTTGGAAAGTCACCTGATGTGTGGTATACTAATCTAAATAAGAGGTTACTATTTGGGCCCCAGACTCTGGACTGAAGGCTATTGGGTTAAATCTTGGGGTGTATCTCAATTAATGTTTTACTAATTAAATAACTGTTTAGATAAAAAAAAAACTCAGTGTCGTATGTTGGACCACAATATTTTCTCTCTATATTGTAACACGAAGGGCTTGGCAAGGATGGAGACGAGAACTCAGGCTCTTTTAGCACAAACAGTCAGCGCTTTGTTAGTCGAATGGCTGTCCAGTTCAGCAACAACCACACAAGAGCTAAAGCACGACAAAGCAGGTTACACCACACGGGGGTCATTTCAGGTACAGGTACGTGGGTAGTTATAGGGTGGTCAGTGGGCACAGGTATAAAAGGGGTTCAGAACTGGGGAATAACTATTTTACAGTGATTTCACACAGTGTACAGCCGTTCCGGATGGTCAGCGGCGCTGGCCCGAGGCCCCCTATCAATCAATCAATCAATCAATCAATCAATCAAAGTTTATTCATCAAATGCACAACAATACAGCATGCAGCAGTAGTTGCTGGCAATGAAATGTCTTTTCTACGAGCTCACTGGGGGGG